TTTCCCGGATTACTCGCCGTCGGGCTTTGTATACCTGCCGGAGAAGTGTAAGGAGCAGTAGAAGGAGCAAGGATGGTGGATGTTGTGGTTTGAGCGTTTCATGAGGGTTTAATGTACCTAATTGGTAATGAGATCTAATGATGGAATAGATAGCATAAGATATTGTAATCGTTTAATACTATACCTCGTGATGATCATGCTTTCTCGGAACCCTGCTGCCTTTGTAAGCAGCTCAACATGTCTTCCCATCGTACGAGATCACATTCATCTCTGGCAAATGCGTTATACTAACATCGTATTTCGCTTGCAATTGGTATCTCTAACGATGACAATAATCAACAACAAGCTTAGGTTTACCAACAATTTTGATCATCATATTCCTAGTTGCGACACAGTGATTCCCATGTGCGGAGACACGCAAGCTAACAGTTGATCAGTGTATATCATTCGTCATAACGCAGTAACTTCGTAAGCCTATATCATCTGCCAAACAATTGAATCCTCTCTTTTCTTCCGCAAGAATAGAACATCTCCACTCCTCACGGACCACCTTTTCCCTACGCTTTCCCGTCATTCCATTCTTCAGCACCCTCGAATTCCACCAACTCCGTGCCAGCCTTGCACAAATCACCCTGTCCATGAACGACCCTTTTCACAACGCCATCCATCGGGCTCCTAATCACAGTCTCCATCTTCATACTCTCAATTACGACGAGTGGCTGATCTTTCTTTACACTGTCGCCCTCTTTGACCTCTACTCGCAGCACTTTACATGGCATCGGCGCGAGCACCGAATTCGTCACGTCCTTGACACCAAGCGCTCTTGTTGTCCAGGCCGGCAGAGCGAGCGTGAGACGGTGCTGTGTTCCAGTTTGGAATAGCGTTATGCTGTTTGATGGGGGCGATGAAGGAGCAGAAGGCGAGAGGATGAAAGTACTGGAAAGTCGGGTGTGTGGGTAGAACGAGGTCACGGTGTTGGTGGAGGGGGAAAACGTGGACGTCACATTGTTGTAACTTACATCCTCTCCCACTCGGATATCGAACTTGGCAGGTGCGGTTTGTCGTAATGTTACTTTAGTGGTTGTAGGATCGCCCTTGCCGTCGGCGGGCATGGATACGAGATTGTATTCGCGATGTTGGAAGCCGGTACTGTGACCAAAGCCTATAGCGGTAATGGGCGGGCCACCCATACCCATTCCTTTGGCTGAAGATGCAATTTCCTGCAGCGCGAGGCCCAGCGCGGCTTGTGCGTAGACTTCGGGTGCTGGTGGGGTGGGCGTAAAAAGTTCGGCGTGGTGTTTCCCAATGTAGCCTGTCTCGACGTCTCCGGCGATGAAATCGGGGCTCACGCACATGCGCTTGATGAACTCGATGTTTGTGATTGGCCCTGCGACTTCGTATTCCTCGAGTGCGGCGCGGAGCTTCTGGATGGCGGCTTCGCGCGTGGGACCTTGCACAATGAGTTTGCTGATCATGGGGTCATAGTGTGAGGATACCTCATCTCCAGCTATGAAACCAGAGTCAATCCTGACAGACTCTGAAGGCTTAGGTGTGCGGAGGTGAAGAAGCGGTCCGGAATCTGGAATGAAGTTCATGTCTGGGTTTTCGGCGTAGATTCGAGCTTCGATTGCGTGGCCACGCTCTGATATACGCTGTTCGATTTGAGCTTGCGTCAGAGGCAGTTTTCCGCCTTCCGCGACGATGAGTTGCCAGTGTACGAGATCCGTTCCGGTTACCATTTCGGTAACGGGGTGCTCGACTTGCAACCGCGTGTTCATCTCCATGAAAAAGAACTGGCCAGTTTCATTGTCAAAGATGAACTCGACAGTGCCAGCGCCCTCGTAGCCGACAGCCAGTGCCGCTTGACGGGCCTTTTCCCAGATGTCCTGACGAATGTCTTCTTTGAGGTGAGGTGCGGGCGATTCTTCGAGGATTTTTTGATGACGTCGTTGAATACTGCAGTCACGTTCGCCCAAGGCAACGCAGTTTCCATGCTTGTCGGCGAAGACTTGGACTTCAATATGCCTGGGGGTTGTGATGTACTTCTCCACCAGCATGACTTCGTCGCCAAAAGAGTTGCGAGCTTCAGACTTGGCAGAGGCGAGTTGATCGAAGAATTCAGCTTCGTTCTGGACAATGCGCATACCCTTTCCTCCTCCGCCTTTGACGGCCTTAAGGAGGACTGGATAGCCGATCTTCAAAGCCTCAGCCTTGAGGTGATCAGGATCTTGATTTGAACCATGGTAACCAGGGATACAAGGTACGCCAGCTTTGGTCATGATGTCTTTGGATTCACTTGATAATGTCAGGCATGTTTGATTACCCAGACATTGCATGGCTTACCTCTTGCTGCCCATGGACTCTATGGCCTGCCATGGTGGACCAATAAAGGTTATACCAGCATCTGTACACTTTCTTGCAAAGTTTGGATTCTCGCTCAGCTGGTGTTACATTAGCCTTTTTTCTAAGATGAATTTGACATGTCGTACGAAACCATATCCTGGGTGTATGCCTTGGCAGCCGTGCTCTTTGGCGATCTGGATGATTCTGTCTCCATCAAGATATGCAGATGGATCCCCGAGATTCACAGCGTAGGGCGAACTCAGAGCGTGCTGTGAGTGTGCATCTGGGTCTGTGTATAGTGTTGTCGTCTTGATGCCATACTCTGATGCTGTTCGCCCGACTCGTCTGATATTCGGTCAGCATTCACACTTCTTCTGTCACAAGTCTAATGCCATCTCACAGTGCAATTTCTCCACGGTTAGCTATGAGTACTGAAGTAAGCGCTTTGGCAGGAGGCGTGACTGTAGAGTTGTACCGTACGCCAGTGCCAGCAAGCAGACGGCGGGATAGATTCGTTGACTTTCTGAGGGCACGCATTCTCTTTTCACGGTCAAGAAAGTAGATTAAAGAAGCAGCAGACGGCCTCGACTGTGGAAAACTAGGAACCAAAAGTCGATTGTTTGTGGCTGGATGTATCCGCGCTGCCTCGGTGCGGCTGTACACGGCTTTGGGGATACAGCCGCGATAGCTCTTGGCACATGTCAGTTTCGCGGGGAATGCGCGCTTCATGTTTGTGAATTCAGGTAAACACGGGCTGTCCCGTCTCGCCCCCTAACATTTGAAGGGGAAGGCATGCAGCGGGAAGATGAAGCTGAGGGTGAGAGTGAGGGTGGACGATGCACGCGTGTGCAGACTCTGTGGCTCGTTACCTCAAAAACCGTGGCGCGCGATGGAGTTGTGAGTGGCACAATACGCTCACGGTGTTAGTGGCTGTTGTCCTACCGGTATTCATTGAGCCAACGCGTCATCTTGCGCTCTCACCTCCACACCACAATCATCACCTTTGGACACTACCAAACATGAGCGACTACGGCGACGACTATTCCGATTACGGCGACGATTGGCTGTATGTCGAGGATGAATACATGGCTGCGGACGACCTGGCAGAACATGCAATCGCATCACCACCCCCGACCGCTTACGGCGACGACGACAACAGCGCCGACTGGGATCGCTTCGACTACTTCAACGATATTGAATATGGCTCAGACGGCTACGACGATGCAGCCACTGTGGTGCATGATGGCAAGGCCACAAACACTGGCCAGAAGAGAAAGCGTGGGGTCCAGCAAACACGTAGCAACAAGAGGCGGTTGACAGAGGATGCAGACCTCAAGACCGACACGGTCCAACTGGAGCATTCACCTGTCGTCTGGAGGTCTCAAGCAGAACGTGAACCAGAGGTGGCAGTCTTGGATGAGAACGCGCCGTCATATTCGTTACTAAAGGACTGGAGGGAAAAGATGGTGAATACACCCCGTTGGACGTGCGCTTCATCATCAGCAAAGTCCCCAAGCGCACGGGCATCGAGAGTGGGCAAGGGCAAGGGCAAGGGTGCAATCACCTGTGTGTCTGCTCCCGTATCACCACCTTATAACGAAGAGGAAGAAGAGGACGAGGAAGCAGGTGTGGACCTTGAAGAAAATGACACAGAAGCCCCTGTGGATGGGATAAGCCAGGATGCTCTCATGGCAGCACTACAACGACAGCTTGCCTCGGCAGGCGGCCCGCTCAGTGGCATGGATCCACAACAACTCCTCGAGTTTGCAATGCGCATGGCAAACGATAAAGATGCAGGAGATGATATCGCAGGGGAGATGGCAGACGCAATGCTTGAAGGCGAAGATGAGGATGATGATGCAGATACGGAAGAAAATCTACTCTCATGGGTAGCTCAACAGCGCAATGCAAATAAGGAATCCACAGACGATGCCCCTAAATCGCCCATCGCAGCGATTAAGAGCAAACGTCCGCCTACCCCACCGTCTTCGGAAGCGAATCGCAGCATTCGCGCTTCGGCAACTTCTACACGCTCTGTACCGCCGCGCGCAGGGCTGAAAAGGAAGATGGACGAGGAGGAGGTTGAGACTGAGGGTGCTACAAAAGTGGTAAAGAAGAGGGCCACGAGATCCTTTGATGCGCCTACGGCTGCTAGCCAGGCTCGAGCTGCACCAGCAAAAGCGACCAGGAGTACGCGCGGGAAGAAGTCTTAGGCTTCGGAAACCGAGCCTGGCAGATGATTGCATATGGTTCGTAGTCGGTTGCGTTGGTATGCTTTTGCAGGGGTGCGTATGAGGCAACCATCAGAACGAGGGAAGAGTGCAGGCGCTTGTTTCCACCAGTCTTGTTCATGCTGTCGCACGTAAGCGCAGCAGTCAAAAGCATGACAGGAAACATGTTGAACTTGAATATCGAGATGTGTTCTGGAACTATCTGAAGGTAACATTCAACAGCTTGGGAGATGAATGCGCCGGATTGACCAACACTACTTCCAATCCCTCGGGGTATAGACGTACAAATACTCCAATGCATGATGTCCATATGCTTTCTCTTCACCCATTTAGACACCCTTTCTTTTCATCAAGCGACAAAGTAGTGTTAATCAGCTACAACTTCGGTTAACTGTCACGTCAATTAGACAATTCGCTGTCCAAGACAGCCAGAGTCCAAGTGCACTGGTGCAGAAGATGAAATGATTTGCAGGAACATTGTCTAGAGTGCTTTCAGTACAAATGAAGATTCTGCACTGTATAAAGTGGACAGGTGCATGTAGGCCAGTGTCTAAGGCGAATTGTTGATGGCGTAGGAAGTATATCTTATAATATCCCGGAGATTGAAGCTGAATGCAAAGTGGCTAACTAGTAGAGCGAGAAATTCTCAGGTATACCGCATGTGGGACTAACGTGTCGTCACTGTGCGCTAATTCTAAAAAGGCTAAGAGGGTCGGTGAGACATCGAACACTCCGCGTCTCTGTCGATGAAGACAGTTGATGAGCGCAGAAAGTCCGGACAGATCATTCTTCACTATTAATCTGTATAATATATTGTATTAAATTTGCCTCCATTCCATCAAGCATTCTTGGTCCAACGGTAGGATAATTGCCTTCCAAGCAATTGGCCCGGGTTCGACTCCCGGAGGATGCACAACATCCTTCTCTCGATTGCAAGTTGTGAATTGCTTTTTTTTGCAGTTTGCATGGGCAGTAATGGATTTTTTGGGCAGTCTGTGGTCCTTCACGTGACAAAGAGGCACTAACACTACATCTAATGCATGTCAAAGGTGTCGACACGATGCGCAACAATTACGTTTTCGATTGTAGCGATGGTAGCATTGTGAATTGTTTTTTGCTGATATATCACGCGTTTAGTTAACAGATAGGCCATTACCATGATTAAGCTTCAAAGATCACTACTTTCACAGGCCTTGATTAGAACTTCGTTGTTTTGACTGAAACTTGGACATGTTTTGCTGAGTTTTGAACTCTTTTTTTGCAAGTCGGCGTGGCCATGTCACGTGCTTGGTCAGCGAATGCAGTCTGCACGTAGGCGCTCACACGCCACCTTAACCTTGGAAAGGTCATTGTTACCTCGACAGGACAGCTTTCCCATCACATGCCCAACAAAAGCCTCGCCCTGGCCAAAAGCCATAATGTGCCGCGGATTGCAGTCCATACAGTTGCCACATCCCGAAAAACGAACGTCTTGTCCAGAAAAGCTCCGCCAAGCAAACCGGTCAGTGATGCGCATGATCATATCTGAGATATGCACCCTGCACGACGTAGGTGTGCAATGTACACAGGATGCGGCAGCTCCGATAAGTGCTCGAATAGTATTCCCCCAGAACTCTGATTCCAAAAAGACGCGCTGCCGATATGCGGCCTCCCAGTGGAGGAGCATCACAATACGTTGAGGGCTGGACATTCACCAATATGCGCACTTCCTTTTCCAAAGTCATGGGAAAATATCGTGCGAGATCTGATCACATTGGGGGTCGCGCAGCAGCATTACGACTCCCGATTACACAGGAAACCTTGTATTCGTCGCAACCACCCGGCGAACGACGGTGTGATAGGTCCCGGGGCCCTGGCCAGCCCTACCACCCATCGTGGTCTAACCCGCTCGGCTACAATGCAGATGTGTTGGCCTTGCAATCGCATGTGGGAACCCGTTTGTGTGGGAGACGGTGAGTGCTCTTGGGGAACTGTAGCCCCGCTCTGGAGGTGTGGTGGTTGATTGGATGGAATAGAGATCTGGGAGGTTTGATACATAGAACACACCGACCTTGAGCTTGGGGAGGAACATGCGCCAAGGCATGCGTGGTTGGGAGAGGGTAGAACAGGTCGATAAGAGAGTGTTATAAGTTGAGCTGGCTGCGCGTAAGATTGAGCCGCATCGTCAGCTTTCTGCGCTCATCATTTGACCTATCCAGGTAGCTGTTGTAGTGCACCTTGTTCTTCAACACGATTGCACTCTTACTCCCATCACAAGAGTATCAAAGGAGAGCCGCCACCATGAGCTCTCAAACCCAATCAATGCCACCTCCGCTTCGCACAAATTCCATCGCTTCCAAAACCTCGGAGTCCTCTGGTCAATTATCACCAGCCTCCACTACATCACCCACATCACCCAAAGTCGCCTCACCAACAGAGAATCAATTCTTCGGTGCCATTACACAGCGTCTTCGCGGTCGCTCGAGGAGTCGCTCCAGGGGAGCCGTCTCGCGCAAACGCTCAAAGTCTCCCATGCCACAAGCGAAACCAAACGACACAAGGCCAGCTTTAGAGTCGACTGGAAGGACTGTGAGTGATCCATGGAGAGGACGACATTCGAATGAGTGGTTGTTTGGTGGATTGTCTGTTAGGAGTACGGTCCGAGATTTGGCTTCAAAAAAAGCATAATGGCAGTCAGAGGTAGGTACACAATGGAACACACAGATGCGAAGGAGACTTGCTTTCGATCTTTGATGGCCCTCTGATGGGTCATGACTGTAACAGATAAGTTGGGTGGTTGAGCGGAGTTACGGCATCATCCTTTCATACTGCGTGAAGCTGGGCTTCGGTAATGTCATCGATGCAATGACTTGTTTCAACCTCTCTTTGTACATTAGCATCTCAGAACTCAACTGGATGACTTATACTCGGCCGTGCTTGTCCATTTGTCATGATGGATACTTGTGATGCTAGTGCATTCGATAACTCTACGAGTTTTGTCGGGAACTTCTTCTCAACTAAGAATGTCACCAATAGTGATTCTCGACACTTTATTATTAGCAACACGAACTGAGTGCATTGTAAGTGAAGAAACAACGCGGTGTGGACTGCCCCTGACCTAGTCAGCCCTACGAAATGCCCATGGTATTTGAGTCGCGGGCTCCGTTCCGATTCCGCCAGGGACCAACCAAGGGCGTCTCACCGCTTCAAAGAGTACCTTCATGTCTTCTTGTACATCGTTCCTGTTCCTCGATTGTCGGACTCGAAGATGGCAACTAGATTTGCGATGATCAAGCATGCTTCACCGACTGCCAGGTTTTCCATCGGGATTACGTGACATGGCTGTTGGTGTACAGTTGTTCCTTTACTCCCGAGACATCTGACCCGCTACCTACTCCCCACAACACACCACAAGCTTCATGCTGTGTCGAGAAAGGATCGCACGGCCGGGACATTTACAAGCACGCAGAGGAGATAAGGCTCGGGAGATAAATACTCCATTCATCGCAACATCTTCTCAGAACGAACCTTTTCCATCTCATTGACCCTTGGGCCATCAATCCTCCATCATGAAGCATGGTCGCGCGTCTATCCCAACGCCAGAATCAAGCAAATCATTCTGGCATAGCGAGCCGAATGAGTTCCTGCTTGGTCATCGTACTACCGACGAGTTACCAGCCGAAGCTGACATCGTCATTGTGGGAAGCGGTATAACTGGCACGTCTGCGGCCAGATATCTTGCAGAAGATGAGCGGGCCAAGGGAAAGAGCATCGTGTTGCTTGAGGCCCGGGAAGCATGTTGGTGTGCCACTGGAAGGGTGAGTGAATTTATGGCGCATGGAACGAATGGCACGGTGGTTGCATTCGAAGACACATGGCAAAAATCTCAAGTTCCATGTTAATCTTGATCATGTAGAATGGCGGACACTGCCAACCCCTCCTCTTCGATCGCGCCTTCGACGTGGCAGAATTCGAGCTCAAAAACGTCGCAGCCGTACGCTCGTACATCAAAGACAACAACGTCCCCTGCGAATGGCGCGATGTATCCGGCTGCCGTACCTTCTGGACGCCAGAAGCCATGGACGAAGCCGAACGAGAAGTCGCCCATCTGCAAAAAGTGGCCCCAGAGATTGCACGCCACGTCACCGTCATAAAAGACGCAGAGTCTTTCAAAAAGCACCGCATTGCCGCTGGGTGCGTCGGCGCAACACTCAGTGAAGGTGCGGCGAGTTTGTGGCCCTACAAGCTGGTGACGTTCATCTTGGAGAAGCTGGTCAAGGAGAGACGGATCAATCTCCAGACTACCACACCAGTGAATGAAATTACGTCCGAGGGTGGCAGACACACACTGCACACACCCCGTGGCACGATTACAACACCCACCCTCATCCTCGCAACGAATGGCTACACGTCTGCTCTGCTCCCCCATTTTGCAGACCTCATCGTGCCCGTGCGCGGAGAGATGAGCGCCCTCCTTCCCCCCAAGGGCTCCACTCTCCTGCCAAACTCATACGGCATGGTCGCTGCCCTAGGCCAACCCGCAAACAACGACGACTACCTGATCCAACGGCCATACGCCGGCGTGCCCAACCCAAAGGGGCACTTGATGTTCGGCGGCGGCCGAGGTGCCGGCCATCTACCCAGCATCGGGGTCTCAGATGACACGATCGTCGACGACGGCGCAGCGACATATCTCCGCAGCGCGCTGCTCAAAGTCCTCGATCTAGACGGCGAAACCGCGGGCGTCGAGCAACTCGAGGCCGCGGCAGAGTGGACGGGCATCATGGGCTACAGTCGCGACGACCACCCGTGGGTGGGCAAGGTGCCGGACAAGGAGGGTCTGTGGCTGTGCGCTGGCTACACGGGACATGGCATGCCAAATGGCACGTTGTGCGGGAAGGCGGTGGTGCACATGGTGCTTGGGGAACTCGAGGGCAAGGCATGCGAAGCGCTGGCAGAGCAGCTGGTCTCAAAGGGGAATCTGCCGAGGAGTTATGTGTTGACAAAGGAGCGGGTGGAGCGGGCGAGGCGCATGTTGACGGTGCAGCAGCAGGATGAGAGGGGTGTTGTGCATATGCATGGTGTGGTGTAGATGTCAGAGCCGCTGTTGTTCTTGTTGCCACTTGTCAGTATAGCACGAATCCTCATTGCAATTATTTTTTCTCCCCGACTTCGCTGGATTTTGCAATTCACCCTGAAAACACGATTTCCCAGGCGATCTTGGTCCCTTGTTGAAGTTTTCCACGTTGTCGAGCAGGAGCTGGCACGTGATGACGAGCAGGAATCAGGAAGAGCCCAGCATTCAAGGCGGTAGTCTAAGTTGGAATACCAAGACATGATATACCATATCTTAGGCGGGACATGTGTGCTGACTAATATTGCATTCTTTCCCCAAAGTCACAGTCTGACGTCTGACTGCAACTTGTGTAGTCCACAAACTGATCAAGATTCAACATTGCGAGTGCGAACAAGCAGCCCACACCACGAAGGGAAAAAATAATAGCATCACCACACCTTCGTCTAGGACAAAAAAAAATAGAAATCTGTCTTGACAACGCACAGCGATCCCATCAACCTCAGTATCCCTACTCCCCACCACCACCATCTCAACCCCACTCCTTCCCAAAAACAAAACTCCCCTCCCCACGACACGACACGACACCATGCCCGCACCCGCACCCGCACCCGCACCCGCACCCGCACCCACCCCCCTAAAAATCGGCGTCCTCCTCTTCCCCGGCTTCCAACTGCTCGACTACGCCGGCCCCATGGACGCCTTCAACATCCTCTCCCTCAGCCACCCCCTCACCCTCTGCACAATCGCCTCCACCCTCGCCCCGGTGCCCACCCACAACAGCGGCCAAACCGCCACGGGCTCTTCAATCAGCCAATCCGTTGTGCCGACGCACACGCTCGACACGGCGCCCCGCGACATCGATGTGCTGCTTATCCCGGGTGGGATCGGGGCGCGCGATGTGGAGAATGAGGAGGTGTTGGCGCGGTGTGTGGAGTGGTTGGGGGAGAGGGGGGTTGGGGGGGAAGGGGGACCGAGGTGGGTTCTGACGGTTTGTACGGGGAGTGAAGTTTTGGCGCGGACGGGGGTGTTGGCTGGGAGGCGGGCGACGACGAATAAACGGGCTTTTAATCAGGTTTGTTTTGGTTTTCTTCTTCTTCTTCTTCTTCTTCTTCTTCTTCTTCTTCTTCTTCTTCTTCGTCTCTTGTTTGACTGGTTTTGTTTGTTTTGGGTTGGGTTTTTGCCTTGGGGGTGGCTGGGGAAGGATAGGAGTATTGCACACTACGTCTTTTTATCTTTCCAACACAGACATGAGAGCGCTAACGAGGAGACGCAGGTCAAAGCCAAACACCCTCAAGTCAACTGGGTGGCCAAGGCGAGATGGGTCGTCGACGGCAATGTCTGGACGAGTTCGGGCATCAGCGCTGGGATCGATTTGGCGTTTGCATGGATGGCCGAGGTGTTTGGCGAGGAGATGGCGGCATTTGTGGCGGATCGATCCGAGTACGAGAGAAATGTGGATGCGGGGAATGATCGGTTTGCAGCGCGTTGGGGCGCCGAGTGAAGAAGGCTGGGATTGAGCTGTGTGGGTGTAGAAGTAGTCGTGATGTAGCAGGATTCAACTCGGCGCATCATCTTCAGTCTTTAGCTCAGCCTCGTCATTGTCTTCTTGCTGCTTCTTCCAATACACAACCAAGCCATTCAACGCATGCGCATGCAGTTCGAAATCCTCCAACCTCGCCACGTCTCTACTGTCCAAAAACCTGCGCCCGAGCTGATTGCACTCGTCCAACTTGTTCCTCTTATCCTCTGTCTGCGCATACGCCGTGTAGTCGTCCAGAATCTCATTTCCAATATACAGCTCCGGATCTCGGGTTTGCAGAAACGTGGGCAGGAGGAGATACCAGTCTACAAAGGGGGAATAGACAAAGGTACGCGTACTGATGTGTGATTGAATTCCAGGATCTTTGACTTGAATGTCTAGACTCGAGAGGAATGATATATCGACGGGGGTAAAGGCAGGGTCTTGCGCGTAGACTTTGACGTCCAGACCTTGTTTCTGCACTAAATCAACATTAGCATCCGCATCCGCATCAGTATCCACATGCCCATCCAGAACAAAAAGCCCTGAAAAATCATACTCACGCATCCCCACAACCTCTACAAACACCACCAGCTGCCACAGACTCCTGAACCGATGTTCCCAATCCCTACTAAAACTCCCAATCCCAACACACACGGCCTCGCCCACATCCAGCCACTCTTTCGCATCCAGCAGGCCACGCAAGTGCACCGCACACGCCGTGTCCCGCCAGCGGTTTGTGCGAGTTTTGAAGTCGGCGAGGAGGGTTGTTGTTGTGAGGTCGTTGATTATGTTGGGCATGCCTGTTACGACTTTGCCTTTGTCTTTGTCTTTACCTTTGTCCTTTGGATTCCCAATCTCCTGGTCACTTTCATCTCCTTCGCCTCCTTCTCCCCCTCTCCGCCTGCCCACCTCTAACCCACCCATCCCATGCGTAACCACAGCCCACCCATCCTCACTCTGCACGACCCGTCGTTTGACACGCCCTCTGCCCATGTCGCCTCAATCACCCTCTTTCAATCACGTTTCGGGGAAATCCGCGGCGCGCATATCCCAGACGCGCAGATTGTGGTGTGGGTGTGTTGAGTGTGTGGAGATACCGTCGCTGTTACCGTCACGGGTGTTGGCAGATACGATGATATTTTACTTTTACTTTTTCCCAGGGTCCACACCGCTCGGAACGTCCTCGGAACGAGGATTCGGAACGAGTGCCAGTCTACCCATGCGCTCGGGTAGTTTGAGTATCATGTGATTTGCCACTGCTACATCCTGGCTATTTTCATAGCACAAGACAAGTAACGTGATCCTCAAACTAGCCGAGATTACTAGCAAGTCATAACAAGGACAAGGCTAGCCTCTTCTTCATAATGCAAAAACATAAAAAAAATCTGCAGGGTTTGACGGCGACTTGCCATCTATCGTATCGCACTTGATGGCTTGTTTTGCTGCACTGTAGCACAAGCCAAACCAACATTCTGGATCCCCGTAACCTCACGTGCCCCCAACACAACTCGTATGGTAAATGCACCGCAGACCAGACTTTCTGAGAGACTTTCTTCATCACAACGGAATTACGGCGAAAAGCAGTTTGTCTGGGTGTATATATATACGATATACCATTGTCACATTCAAATCTTAAAAACCCCCTCGAAGGAGTGATTGTGTACCAAAGATTTTCCTATTCCCACATCACTCCTTCCCAACCAGGAATTCCCAGATCAAAAGAAGGAAGAGACCAATAAAAAAAGAATACCCCCCCGCCCTTGGGGCAAAAGACGTCCCAACTGGGAGCGCATGTGATGGAGATCAGATATAGAGACAGGATATCTTTCGCGCCCTTGAACGCCGTGCCAAAGCAGTGGAAATGGGAAACCGAGAATTGAAAAAGCCAAAAGGGAAAACCATATTACATTACATCCACGTTATCCACGAGGCAGCGGCTAGGAGGGCGGGGACGAGTATGGATGCGTAGGTGTTGACGACCGTGGTGCGGGGGGCGGGTGAGGTTGTGGTGGTGTAGACGACCTGGAAGCCGATTTTTTGGTGGGGTTCGGTCGAGTTGAAGCAATTGGTCGCGTTTACTTCTGGGACGTCTTCTGGTTCTGCAAAAGTGATGTCCGCGCACTGATCAATATAGGGTCAGCAATCTATATTCATGGGGGGGAACGAGGTCGAAGATCAAGGAGGAGGGCTCACGTTGTACAAGGCGGCGCCGTGTTGGGCCAGCTCAATGACCTGGATGGTTGCATTGTCGCCAATCTTGGGGGTGTAGTTGGCCGGGAGGGGGACTTGGGGTAGGCAAAAGGTGCCTTCGTATTGCTGGTTGGAAAGGCCGGTGAATTGGA